TCACAAATAGTAGATCTTGAATAGTTGATGTAAGAGTTTTTAATTATAAATCTTACTCAAGTTTTGATAGAAATAGTTTAGTAATTACTTTCAAACTGTTTATACTACAGTTTTCTTCCTTAGTCTCCTCTCCCTCTCTCTTGTTTTCTATAGCGTGCATCTTCCTCTATTTGTGTCAGGATCAATTGAATTTTTTTTTCCTGCATGGTACCAATTGAAAATGTTACATTAGTGGCCTTATTTTCTTCCTAGTTAAAAATACATGACAAATCAAGAACAAAATATATTGCTCACCCTCAATGGATTAATTATTCTGTGCAGATGCCGAACGTCGTCCGGAGATCAATCAAAACGCGCCAAGTCACCCCTTCGCTCGGTACCGTAGCTCGGTAATGCTCGGCACCGCTGATGTGGCGCATTCTGGTTGGCCTTCAGATGACATTAATTCTGCGTCCAATCTCCGTACATAATAATTTCTCCCCTCGATGGCCTTTGTGTCATCTTCGCTAAGTAAGTAAACTTGCACACACAAGATGAGTTGCGTACATATTCTTGGGTTGATATCTTAGATTTGTAGCTTAGGAAGATTTTGAAATTTAACAAATTTTAATATTTCCAACAAATTCAAAATTCCAAATATTTTTAAACATCTAAATTCAAACAAATTAATCTAAAGTATGTCAACACATCATCATCATAAAAAAATTTCCCATTTTTTTATATTGGAGATTGGAAAATTGGAAATGAATGGGCCTGCCTTCGTTCCCTTCTTTTGATGCTGTCCTTTTGCCAAAAAACTTAATAAAATGAAATGAATGCAGAAGAAAATTCAAGAGGCCCTTAGTCTTTTTTCTATGAAAGTTCTCCAACAACTAAAGCCATGTTATTTTGACTATTATGGGAGATTAAAATAAGAAGGAAACTCCATGCATGTTAATCTAGTTGTCCCTTCCACTCAAAGCCATGTTCAAAATTTTCTCTTTTAATTGCCTTTCAGCCATGATTGCCTGAGCACATGAGCTCAGCTCTTATTAATTTAGGATTTACAGTAAGCTTCCTTCACTCATTGGCATGTGCATTTGAGAGTTTCATCGATCACTTGATCTAGTTTTTTTTTTTAACCGAAAGTCATCTCTGAATATGACCTATTTTATTTTTGAAAATATAGATCTGATGTCCTTCTATTGGATTCACATGAAAAGAATCTGTAATTATAATTTAATGTGAGTTCTGAAAAATAAAATTAGAATTCCAGCTTTCTAATGTTTTAGATCTGAAGAAAAATTCAAAATTTTTCATCTTATGTTAATTACTTTTACAGCCTAAGGCTTCGTTTGGGACGACTTTCTTCCTGCTTCATAAAGGTGCTTTCTAGTACAAAAGATAAAAATTTTATACTAAAAAGCCGCTTTAAGAAGCAATAAGAAAGCCGTCCCAAACATACCTTAGGCTTCATTTGGGACGGCTTTCTTACAGCTTCTTAAAGCAGCTTTGTAGTATGAAAATTTTACTATTTAAACTAGAAAGCTATTTTAAGAAGCAATAAAAAAGCATCATAGGCTTCGTTTGGTACAGCTTTCTTACCGCTTTTTAAAGCAGCTTTATTGTACAAAAATTTTAATTTTTGTACTAAAAAGTGGCTTCTTAAATCTGTAAGAAAGTCATCCCAAATGAAGCCTATTTTTTTACTAAAACTCGTTCTTAAGAAGCAATAAAAAATTCGTCGCAAACAAGTCTTTAATTGTTTTCTTATTTTGCCGGGAAATGAAAGCTAGGCATGTAAGTTGAAAGCAAGAGTATCATAGTTTATTGTTCTTTTGACTTGCCAATGATAAGGATAAAAAATAAAAAATAAAAATCATAGATTAAGAGTTGTTTGGTGTAATAATATTATATCGATAGGGGGAAAGAGATAAATTTTTATCTTAATTCAAAAGTAAGATTTCAAATGCTATTATAAAAGTTAAGGGCATCTCCAACCGAACGGCAAACACTTGTTTGCCGTTCTTGCTTTGCTCCAACCGATCGTCATTTTTGACGCCATTTGATTGCGGATGAACAGTGCGACGCTAATATTGGCGTCGCACTGTTCATCTGCGCTATTTTTTTCTCTCTACCGAACAGGTTGGGAAGAAAGACGCGAAAGAAAACGACTGTTTTAGCGGCAAAATGACATTGGATTGGAGATGAAACACGGCATTTTTTGATTTCCCTGCATTTTGGAGTGAAAAATGACATTTTCGGTTGGAGATGCCCTAAATGCAAAGCATAAGAGAGGAGAGGGTTTTTTTTATATGAGAGAGTTTGGGGAAGGGGACAAAAACTTTGATGGGATCTTTTTGAAATAGTTTCATCAGGGCTAGTATTATTTGTAGTAAAAGAATGTGTGAATACAATGTAATAAGATTTGTGTTTCATCTGAGAATTTTTTATCATTAATTTTTCATTTCCTTTAAAAATTTTTAATATTAAAATAATATTTTAGAAAACGGTAAAAAAAATTGCCTCAAATCAAGCCTAAAATAATAGAGATAGTTAGGAGATAGACATATATATAGTTAAATTTTTAATTATTAAAAAAGTTAAATTTAATAAAACATTAATTAAAATACTTATTTCTATTCAATTTATTGCTCTCTTTTTAATAAAGACTAAACAATTAATGTTGTGGAACTCATAATAAAAGTTAGAACATCAGTGTATTGACATAACATATATATTATAAGTAAGACTTTGTTTGAAACAGCTTTCTTACTGTTTTCTAAAACATATATATATATATATATATATTTAAATTTTGACACTAAAATATTGTTTTAAAAACCAGTAAGCAAATTGTTTCAAACAAAACCTAGAATAATAGTCGAGTTACCAACATCTATATTAAGTCCCTTCACATTGGGTTAAGCAATAAGTTAAGGTGGTGTCTAATTATTAATATATTCAACTTAACTTAGATTTCGTTTGGGACAGTTTTAATTAAAATTTTTGTACTAAAAAGCTGATTTAAGAAGCAGTAAGAAAGCCGTCCCAAATGAAGCCTTAGGCTCTAAATGTTTACCCTTCTATAACACTGTGGAGGACTTCAAAATAAAGAACTCATATTTTCTTCAGAGAGAGAAAAAAAAAGGTCAGTCACAACTGAATACTCAATAATTTGTTCATTTTTCATTCTAATGAAAGCTGAGAAAAAACTTGATAGAAGAATACAATGTAATTCAAATTGTTCATTTCAACGGCACCCATAAAAAATAGTTGAAAACTTTTTCTCTTTTTGCTTATGATTGTATAACCAAGGAGCGATTTTGATGCGGAGCATGTTAGCTTAAAACTTTTATTAGACTAGCTAATTTAATTTGTTACAAGTTGTTGCATGTTTTCTAGAATCTTCTAGGTTTCTACTTGCTTATTATATATAAATCGTAAAAGAAGAATGAAGGGATGATGAATATTATCTCTATTTTGAAGCTTTGAAGCTTGAGTTCTTCTTGTTCCATGGATTAGGATCAAATCTTTCAAGCAGATCCGATTCTTCCGACGATCCAACTACATGAGATTTCCTATTTGTACCCTTTTTTGTGTTAATAAAAAGCTTCTAAACCCAAAATTCAGAATGAAACCATTCAATAGTATATTAGTTTATTAATAACTCAAAAAGAAACCTCACGGCTTTCTAAGTAGTGGTTCCTTCATAATAGCGTCTAGCTTTCTTTTTCTGCTTTGTCACTCTCAGCACTATTCTTTAATCCTCTATTTGCTTGAAAAAGAATGAATGTAAAGTAAAATAAATGTATTATTTTTTACTTTTTGATGTTTGTTGGGTGAAAAATAAATTAAAGGTAATATATCATTTTAATTTATTATTGAGGTAAAATGTTATTGTCCAATTTGAATGTAAATGCTTTACACTGTTAAAGTGCTTTCTTGACCACCCATGACAGTCACCATCTCTACCACCACTTGCTGCCCATCGCCGCCCGTCGTCGCCTCAACATCACTATCTGCTGCAGCTTCACTGTTGCCGCCAACCACCGGTCGTCGGCTACCCTGGTGACAAACTTATTACAATTTACATAACATTCACTTTACTTCAAATCAAACAAAAAGAATAAAGTCTTATATTTCTTTTTCACTAATCCAAACAACTCCATAGTATTTCTTACACAGTATTCATTTTAATGACTAGCAATTGTCCAAAGATTTGGATTAACAAACAAATTATTGAATGCATCTTCTGTCAAAAATGATTAACTGCAGATTAAAGTAATTTTCATGAGTTCTGTCGAACTATTATTAATATATAATAGAATAGGAAAACAATAATCAATATCTTGAGAAATAAATTTTTTTTTTTCAAATCCTTCTCAATTTTCATAATAAAAGAAGCATATAGATCTACCTACAAAACGTTCAGAGTCATTTTTTAATGAAGAAAACATCATTCTTTTTCAACCCGGCTTTCAAGATAAAAATATATTCACCTCTCCATATTGCCCCCACCCTGCGAAGACCACCTGAGAAACAACTCCTAATGAGTAGGGGTGCCAATATTTGACACGACACGAAAATCTGACCCAGACCCGACCCGGAAAATCTGAGTCGGACCCGACCCGATTTCATAATGGCTCTGGTTCGGGTTCCCGGATTCGACCCGTTTGAAAAATGGGTCGGGTTCGGGTTGACCCGGCGGGTTGAATGAACTGCCCGAGGCTGCCCCGGCTACCCGCGGCTGCCCGCGACCCCGCACGCCGGACAACCCGATAGGTCGGGTCCGGGTCCGTGTTTTTGACCCGTTTGCTTACCCGGGTCAGGTCAGAGTCGACTCGATTGAACCCGGGTCAGTTTCAAATTCGACCCAAACCCAACCCGTGACCCGAAACTGACACCCTTACTAATGAGCTAAGTTGAAATCAAAAGGTTCCACAAGAGATCTGTAAAAACATAATTATTGAAAAAATTAGTAATTTTTATTAAAAAAAAAATGTAGTGCTCATTATCTATAATTAATTTCAAAGGATTTAGAGCGCCAAGTTCAGCAAAAAGACAGCGTGCTCTCATAATCAAAACATTAAACAGAACACAGCCAATCCAAAATAAAATAAAACAAAATGAAAACTCAATTAGTAACATCACAGATCCAGATCTCTATCTTTCTCCTATAAACAAAACATGGGGTTTCCCCCTCGACAATCCCAACACAGATTTCCTCCTCCTCTCCCTTCTTCATCCCCTTCCCCTCCTCACATCCACCAATGCCTTCTTCCCTGTCCACAACTCTTCTGTCAATAACCATACCCTCTCTTTTCTTCCTTTCCTGTTTCTCCATTGACAACCAAGGCCTTGCTCTTCTTCAATGGAAGAATACGCTCACCTTCTCCTCAGACGAGCTCAGCTCATGGAAGTCAACAGATTCCAATCCCTGCAAATGGTATGGAGTCCTCTGCAACCCAAGTTCCCTGGTCATAAGCCTCAACCTCAACTCAGTGAATATCCAGGGCGAATTGCCTTCCAATTTCCAATCACTCAAGTCTCTCAGGACTCTTGTCATCTCCGGCACAAATATCAGCGGCCAAATCCCAAAATCCTTTGGTGATTACCAAGAACTAAGCTTGCTTGATCTCAGTAAGAACCAAATTTCCGGGGAAATTCCGGCGGAGCTCTGCAAACTAACAAAGCTTCAATCTTTAGCTGTCAACTCTAATTCTCTCGTTGGAGCCATTCCTGTGGAGCTCGGCAATCTCTCCATGCTTACTTATCTCACTATCTTTGATAACTATCTCAGTGGTGAGATTCCAAGAAGCATCGGGAAATTGACAAAGCTCGAAGTTTTCCGGGCCGGAGGGAACCAAAATCTCAGAGGTCCATTGCCGCCAGAGATTGGAAATTGCAGCAATCTCATGATGATCGGCCTCGCTGAAACTGGAATTTCCGGCAACCTCCCGCCGGAAATCGGATTGCTGAAGAGAATTCAAACTATTGCAATCTACACGGCGCTCCTTTCTGGTTCTATTCCTGGCGAGATTGGAAATTGCAGTGAGCTCAAAAGCTTGTACCTTTATCAGAATTCGCTTTCCGGATTGATACCGCCGGAGCTCGGAGAGCTCCAGAAGCTGCAATCTTTGCTCTTATGGCAGAACAGCTTGGTGGGCTCCATTCCACCAGAGCTTGGGGAATGCGGCGAGCTGGTGCTCGTCGACCTTTCGCTTAATCTCTTAACAGGGAGCATTCCGAGTAGCTTCGGCAAGCTCTCCAACCTACAGCAGCTTCAGTTGAGTAGTAATCAGCTCACTGGAGCTATACCGCCGGAGCTTTCCAACTGCACGTCCTTTACAGATATCGAAGTAGACAATAATCAGCTGTCCGGCGAGATAGAGATTGAGTTCGGGAAGTTGAAGAGCCTTACTCTGTTCTACGCATGGAAGAACATGCTGACAGGGAATATTCCAGCGAGCCTCGCGGAATGCGGGAATCTACAATCTTTGGATCTTTCATACAATAATCTGACAGGGGTGATTCCAAGGGAGCTCTTTGCGCTTCAGAATCTATCAAAGTTGCTGCTTATCTCCAACGAGCTCTCTGGCTTCATTCCTCTGCAAATAGGCAACTGCACGAACCTCTTCCGACTCCGGTTAAACCGCAACCAGCTCGTCGGACAGATTCCGGAGGACATTGCCAAGTTAAAGAACCTCAATTTCCTGGACATTAGCGAGAATTTTCTCGTGGGCGGGATTCCACTGGCTATTTCGGCATGTGAAGGCCTCCAATTCCTGGACCTCCACTCCAACGCTCTCACAGGCGCATTACCGGAGTCACTCCCGAAGAGCCTCCAGTTCCTCGACGTCTCCGACAACCGTTTTTCAGGCGCACTATGCTCTGGTGTGACGAGGCTGCCCGGGCTCACCAAGCTCCTGCTTTCAAAGAACCAGTTTTCAGGCAGAATCCCATCCGAGCTCATCTCCTGCTTGAAGCTTCAGCTGCTAGACCTCGGGGAAAACTCTTTCTCTGGTGCCATCCCGCCGAATCTCGGCCTCCTCCCATCCCTCGAAATCTCCCTCAACCTCAGTTGCAACCAACTCTCTGGCAACCTTCCGTCTGAGCTCTCCGAGCTCAAAAAGCTCACAAATCTCGATCTTTCCCACAACTTCCTCACCGGCGATCTGACCCCAATCGCTTCCCTCCAGAACCTTGTCTCCCTCAACATCTCCTTCAACTCCTTTTCCGGCGAACTCCCCGACACCTCTTTCTTCCGCAATATCCCCCTCTCCGACCTGACCGGTAACCAAGGCCTCTACATCTCCAGTCCCGGAACCCGCTCGCTGACCTCCGCATCGCCGCAGAAGCTCGCAATGCCTCTCCTTTTCACAATATTCGCCGTCCTCGTCCTCGCCGCAGCCTATTTCATTCTCCGTGCCCGCCGTAGAAGCGGCGAACCTGCCGGCGACGGCCACTGGGATATTACAATGTTCAAAAAATCAGATATTTCGGTCGAAGAAATAGTCAGGGGGCTAACTTCTGCAAACGTGATCGGAACGGGAAGCTCCGGCGTGGTGTACAGAGTCGGCACCGTGGCGGTGAAGCGGATGTGGTCAACGGATGAAGACGGCGGCGCGTTTCGGAACGAAATCACGGCGTTAGGGTCGATTAGGCATCGAAACATTGTGAGATTATTGGGTTGGGCGGCGAATAAGAGGATGAGATTGTTGTTTTATAATTATTTGCCGAATGGGAATTTGAGTTCAATGATTCATAGGGGAGGAAAGGGGGCTGTTGGATGGGAAGAGAGGCATGGAATAATGGTGGGAGTGGCAGAGGCAATTGCTTATTTACATCATGATTGTGTACCGGCTATACTTCATGGAGATGTGAAGGCCATGAATGTATTGTTGGGGGAAGACTTTGAAGCTTATTTGGCGGATTTTGGGTTGTCGAAGGTGTTGAATGTTGGCGGAGGAAGAAGAGAAGCGGCGAGGTCACCGCCGAGGATTGCAGGATCGTATGGCTACATGGCTCCGGGTAAGATTTTTTTTTTTTTTTTTTTTGGAGGGGGAAATTCAATATTTTTCATAAAATAACTTTTCATTCATCTCATATATGGCATTGACAGGCATGTGATCTGTAAAAAAAAATATTCTCTATGACTCAGTAGGTTTAATTGTTTTAGTATGTTGGATTTGAATGCTCTGATTATATTTTCATTAGATTTTTAATTTGCTAATGTTTTTCTAACTTTTAATGATAATCTGTCATTATTTTGAAAAGGCCGTCATATTTAGATTTTGGTTTCATTTGAGAAGAAATTATTATGTGCGAACACCGGTTGTCCAGAACGCCTCATATCACCCGGTATATAGCGGTACACAATCATGGTATACAAAAAAAGTGATGCGGCGAGTTCTGATTCACCTCCGGACGACGTCTATATCCGCACAAAATGATTTCAGACGAATTTTTTTACTTCTTTTTAAAACAATTTTTGGCGGTTGATTTTTCAATATTTTCTTAAAAAATTTGCTCTTAAAAACTATTTAAAAATAATTAAAAATTTTGTCTTAAACTAAACTTTAAAGTATTAAACATAAATGTTCTACTGGATGATGCAGTTGGAGCAATTCCCATCACATATCAATACAATTATTTATTATTAGCACTAACTTTTGCCACTCAAATTCCAGAGCTCGGTTCAATGCAACAGATAACGGTTAAGAGCGACGTCTACAGCTACGGTGTGGTCCTTCTCGAGGTCCTCACAGCTCGGCACCCACTAGACCCGTCCCTTCTGGGCGGGGTCAATCTGGTCCAGTGGGCCCGCGACCATCTCCATTCCCAACGCGACCCAACGGGTCTACTCGACCCGAGGCTCCACGGCCTGCCCGACTTCCAAATGCAGGAAATGCTGCAGGCTCTGGCCATCTCGGTCCTGTGCGTCGGCCTGCGGCCCGACGACCGGCCCACCATGAAGGATGTTGTCGCACTTCTTAAGGAGATACGAAGGCCGGCGGCCGACGAGCCCAAGGCGTCGCCGATGATCGGCAGTTTGTCTCCGGCGAGAAGCTTGGCTCTGCGTGGTTCTTCGAGTTGTTCATTTGTTATGTCGGATTGTTCGGATTGAAGGAGTGGGCTGGGCTTGGAAATGGGTCTGTAAATCATTTGTTTTGGGTTAGTTTAAGCACTTTGATTTTTAAAAGAAGTAGATGGGAAATAATTTAGGTTTTGTTGTTGTAAATATATCTGTAGTGATTAGGGCAACTCCAATGGACCGTTCTTGCTTTGCTCCAACCGACCGTCATTTTTGACGTCAATTGATTGTGGATGAACGGTGCAACGTCAATATTGGCGTTGCACTGTTCATCTGCGTCATTTTGTTGGTCTCTGCAGAACTTCAGGAAAAAAGGCGCGAACAATAGTTACGGGACAAAATGGCGTTCGATTGGAGTAAAAAATGAGAGGTGCCCTTAGGGATGTTGTAAAAATTTTTGTTTCTAATTGATTTTGATAACAATTACCAAGTTCAGCCGATTTTAAACTCTTGAAGAGCATAAAATCTACATAGAAATTATAGAAATAGTTCATTATATGTGTAAATGAATTACTATCGATTTGAGTAAGGTCAGGCAATAACTTATTCATATTAGACTATAAATAAATGATTTTATAAAATTTGACCAACTCTAGCTAATTATCAATGATAATAAGCACAAACAATAATTTTTTTGTACTGTTGTACAGCATTGCGCTCAAATATATACTTGAGCGTTGCGGTACTAATACTATAATCTGTGGTAGGCGATAGAAATCAAAGCATTGTGATGTTGTAGACTGCAACGGCGTTGCATGGTGAACTCAAAAATAGAGAGTTAAGCGTCATAGCTCTCTAGACCTCAGCAGGGTCATGCTATGTAGTTTTCTTTCATATTTCATTTAAAGGGTTGGGTCATTTAGTTCATTAAAAAAAATCTACTTATCAATTTTTGAGTGTAAAACTAAGAGAAAGTGAAGAGGGAGAAGGGAAAAGATTTGTAAAATTTCTCCCAATTTCAATAATGAATTTTTTGGTATGATCTGACTTTATGATATTTTCCATAGTTTGAGTTTTTTCATATATTTTTTTTCTTTGTTGTTTATTTCATTGTGTGGCTTACTTCCCAATAGAGTGTATTTATTTTGCTAGAAATTTTTTAAGAAAATAAATAAAAAATAGTTAATGTTAAAAAAAATTGAATAAAAACTTTATTTTTTTAACTTGCATCATTTAATTAAACAGATCCTACTTATAAAACAGTTTGACAAGTCGGATTTGTATTCGACCATAAATTAAGCATACGCTTTAAGGCCATAATGATAAGAACTGAGGGAATTAGTGCACCAACTTATAAGTTTTAAGTTTTTGTTTGGGATGGATTGTTTACTGCTTCTTAAAGTAGTTTTTTAGTATAAAAATTAAAAAAAAAATTGTACTAAAAAACTATTTTAAAAAGTAAGAAGAAAGTCGTCCCAAACGAAACCTAAGTCATGCCGAAATTGAAATCAGTTGGTCATAATTAACTCCACAAATTGGATTATCTATCCATCATTGGGTGTATTTTGGTTCAAGTTACCCATTTTTTAATAGGCGATATTAGTCCAAATCAAATCATAAAGTGGGAATCAAATTCCAATTTTTCAAATATTAATAGATGATTTATACATATCTTATGTAATAATAATTTATTTATTTATTGATAGCTCTGCTTTGACCATCGATCATTGCATAATTAATAAATTTTTAAAACTAATTAATGCATTTGCTTATGGAAAGGGAATGCAAAGAGGAGATTTGTAATTGCTATCTGCCTCTCCTACAACTGTTCACATGTTGCCAGAAGAGCAGCCACATGGCGTAGATTACGACCGCCCAACGACAAATTTTGAACGATTTCTGATGCTGCCGAAGTATGGAGATATTAATACTATTACTATACTGAGATACGCTGGCTATAGAGATATTAATTTGGGTTGAGATAATGATTTCTTGAATATTATTGAACACAAATTTTATGAGCTGGATATAATATCTTAAATTGTGAGAAATTATTTTGTGTGGCATCAGGATGGGAAGAACCGTTCGAATATATGAGTATACTGTGTACACACTATGTATACATTTATACGTAGTGTAGGGGTGTCAATATTTGACACGACACGAAAACCCGACCCGGACCCGACCCGATTTCAAAACGGGTCAGGATCGGGTTCCAGAAATCGACCCGTTTAAAATCACCTAACCGGCTAGCCCGCACTGAACCGGCTGCCCGCGACTCTGCCCCGCCTGCCCGCGACTTTGCATTTCCGACCCATTTGTCTACCCGGGTCGGGTTAGGGTCGACCCATTTGAACCCGGGTCAGTTCCGGGGTTCGACCCGAACCCGACCCACGACCCGAAATTGACACCCCTAATATAGTGTATGTCAAATCAGTGTACAGTGTGTACGCTCACAATCTCTTGTTCGGATGCGGCACCGAATAATTTCTCCTAAATTGTAATAAGAATATGCATAGATGTGGCCTGAGCTGTATATTATATCTTTTTGATTTGTAATATCTAAGATTAAAGGGGGAATTTTAACTTGGAATTTATTTGCATTTAAAACATATCCATAATGATTGCAAGATAAATAAAAGTTAAAAATTTAGAACTTAACTATTTTTGTTATGTGTAATATCCTATATGCTATTATTATTGTGAATAATTTTATTTAGAAGTAGGGGTGTACTTTCTTGTCCAGCTCATGTCCACTAACAAGCAATCCTATATATCATGCTCGAACCAAACACATCGACGTGGATTGTCACTTTATCCGTGACAGCATTCGGGCAAAACATTTGTCAGTTCATCATATCTGCACAAATGATCAATTAGCTGACATCTTCACAAAGCCTCTACCACCTCGCCGATTCAAACTACTCTGCAGCAAACTGATCGTTGCTCCACCACCATCAGTTTGACGGGGCTTGTTAACAAGAAAGGACCATGTACTTCCTTGTCCAGCTCATGTCCACGTCATCCAGACGTTATATGCTCATTCATGTACACATAAACATAATGAAAATAAGTGTTTCTTTCCTTTACTATGTCCGCTCCTCTCTTCCTTTTCATCAACATAAGTGAGTGAAGCTGACTTGTGAATCGGCTTAGGCTTCATTCTATAATTGGCTCGTGAGGTGAGCTTGATGAGCTAAGGAGCTCTTACTCGACTTATTAACTTGCAAGTTAGCTCGTTTAAATAATATTAATATAAAATATACTTAAAATATGTTAAAGGTTTTGAAATTAGAAGATTGAAATTTCTTTTAGCTAAAAGGATTTATAATGTGAAATTCCTTGTGAGGATGTTGTGGCAGATTCGAGTGATTTGTCGAATGAGGTGGCTTCCTGGGTTGGTTTTACCTCTTGTGAGGATCTCCCAGGTTCTCCAACCCAGGCGTTGGTTGTTTCTGATGGTTCTATTCCTTTGGAGCTTGTGGCACATGATGTTAAAAGTTCGGCTGTTAATTTGGTTTCAGTTTTACCTGTTAATGTTGAGTTGAATGTGTCTCCTTTTGTGAATGTCTCGAAGGGGAATGTGGAGTATGTTGATATTCTTATTTCTGTTATGTCAAATGTAGATTTGAAAGCCCATCTATCCCACCCTTTGAATAACTATATTTTGCTTTAATCGAATTGGCTCGAGATGGATGAGACCCTATCCACACCTTCTATGGGGGAGGGTGATGATTTTGATGGCCGTGTAAATGATGATAAGTATAGTTCCATTGTGGGATGCGTTGTTGATCAAGCTATTCTCAGTTGCGGAGGAAAAAGACAGAACAATAAATCTAAGAAGAAATAGGTTTTGGATTTTCTTCTTGCTTTCGTTGCCTTGGGCTTTATTGACGTTTTGGACGGTGATGAGGCGGCTCCCTCCTTTTCTCCCTTTGGCCTAGGTTCATTGGCAACCTTGGTGGTGTGCCCTTTTGCTTGGTGGTTGCTTGTGTGGGATGTTTATGTGTGGTTGTTACCAATGAATGGTCCGTGCCTGACTACGAATGGGGGCTGCCACCCTTGAGTTCGTTGTTGACTGTTGACTCATTTTATTGCATCTTTCTCTGTTTGTTTTATCTATGTTGATTTATTTTCCTGTCTTTCGATGTATTTTGGTGTCTATTGTTTTTGGATCGATGTTGTACTATTTTCTTTGTTGGAATAAAATTTGTTTTTCCTTAAATAATAATAATAATAATGTGAATACTTAAATATTATGAACACAAATTTTGAAAAGATTAATGGTATAGAGTGATGAAGCAAAGATGTTTGGAGGAGATCAAAATCAAGATTTATCTATATCAATGATCAAATTCATTTTCAATTCAACAATTTTAAATTATTAATGATGGATAAAATTATTTAAATTGTTTACTCCAATATATTTTTATTATCTGATATGAGACTTAGATTTTGTTTGTGACAACTTTATAGCTTCTTTATACATTAGTTTTCTAGTAAAAAAAATCAATTTCAATAAATTTTTATACTAGAAAATTATTTTAGAAAACAACAAAAAAAATGTTCTAAGAAAAGTCGTAGCTTCATTTGTGATAACTTTTTTGTTGCTTTCTAAAACAACTTTTTAATACAATTTTTTTTTAATTGACATTTTTGCACCAAAAAGTTATCCCAAATCAAGACTTATACTTCGCTTGGGACGACTTTTTTATTGCTTCTTAAAGCATATTTATAATATAAAAATTAAAATTTTTATACTAAAAATTTGTTTTAAGAATCATTTAAAAAATCATCACAAACGAACCCTTTGACTTTGTTTGTTTTTTTTTTCTTTTTTTTTTAATTAAATTTTTTTTTACACAAGTTGTCCAAAAATAAAAACTTAACCTAGAGTCGGACGGGTCTTAATAACGAAAAAAAATGTATGCGAGAGTCAAAAAGTTGGCAAATTATTGCGTTCGGTGTCTGGACACTAATCCAGTGTCGTCACGTCATCAAAATACATCATGACCCAGTATATTTGAGTGACGTGGCGTCACTGGATTGAATGTCCGGACATCCAGTGACCGGACACAATAATTCGCCCAAAAAGTTTTTTCATTTATTTGATTTTTTTTCTTTGAAAAGTTACTTTTCATATATATATGCATTTCATATGTACGATGACACATTATTTTAAAGTCTTAAAGTGCGAGCATCTAAATATGCCATAATTTTATATTTATTTATCGTATGAGCGCCTATCCAACAAAATTCA